TTTGGATCTGGATTCTCCGCTGGATCTAACGGAGTTGTGGTGCCTGCTGGCGGTGCCGGGAGCGCCGGCAGCGGCGGCGGCGGCGGCGGCGTGAGTGAGTCCATTCCTCTTTCCAGTTGCGGCACTTTGAGCCCGACGCCCGTCTCGGGCCACGTCTTACTCGGGTCGCACTACCAACACGCGCAACAGACCATCACCAGTCTTATTAAGCAGCCTGTGGCGGCGTTTGCCGCCGCTGCCACCGCCGCCTCGGCGGCGGCGCCAGCGCCACCTTCTCAGATGGTGTCGTTGCCGGCGGTCTACGGCCAAGGCGGCGGCGGCGGCGGCGGGGTTACGGGCGCTTGCGCTCCGGGCTTGCACGGTGGCATTGGAAACGGTGGCGGTGGGAGTGGCGGCGATGGCAGTTTAGGTGGCGGCGCGACGGTGAAAGTATCGTCTTGCGCCGGCGGCGGCGGCACCGGCGGCGGCGGCGGCGGCGGGGCATCTCAACCGCTACCCCAGGGTCACTGCGGCGACGGCGGCGGCCCCTTCTCAGCGGCGGCGACCGGCGGCTCCGCTGGGGCGATGGCAGCCCCACCTCAGCGCGCGGTCAGCAACGGCGCCGCTGCCGTCAACGCCTCCAACGCCGTACAGGTCCCTTTTGGGATTGTGTCCGGGGTCATGGGCCATGGCGTCGGCGGTGGTGCTGGCGGTGGTGACGGCAGCGCAGGCGCCGCCGCGGCCGCCGCCGCCTCTGGCGTTGTCGTTGGCGGCGGCGGTGCAGTGTACCACGTTGCCATTGGCGGCACGCCAGTTAGCCGTCCGCTGCTGCGCCTGGGCGGCATGACTAAACTGGGCTCTGGTAGCACCGTGTTCCTTTCTCCGAGTAGTGGTATGGTGCAGCAACATCAGCAACAACATCAGCAACAACATCAGCAACAACATCAGCAACAACAGCAGCAACAACAGCAGCAACAGCAGCAACAGCAGCAGCCGCGATACCGGCATTAAGACTTGTGAGTTCCGCCGCCCTTGAAACAGTCTTAGTCAAATTTTTGTGTGGTGGTAGGTGGTGGCTTCGGAGCGGAGCCACCTGCTCCGCTGCTGAAGGATAGATGGCTGGCTGGCTGGCTGGCTGGCTGGTGCCTTCATATACAGAAAACGTTCAGTTAAACGGGTCGGGACTTTTCATCATACATGTTGATACAGTGCCATTTACGTTGCAGGCAGGACGGCCGGGATGGGAGTTTTTGGGTGTTTGATGGTGTTTGATGGTGGCGTGAGGTGAAGGGCAATTTATAATGGCGGATATGTGCGTGTGGACGCATGTCGCTGTGGTAGTGGTGGTGATCAAAGGGTAAGGGGTTGAGGAAGCAGAGAAGGGCGGGGGTGCCTGGGGGGGTTTGCTGCGCTCCGATACCGTCATGCCGTTACCCACGTTGTGACGTCATCACGGCGATGATGACGTCACGTGGATGGGGGATGAGAGGACGTACTGCTGCGCACGAAAGTCCTGTCGGTATCTACGTATGTATGTATGTATGCATGTATGTATGTGCGTGTAGTATTCCGAAACCGTTGCGAGTTTTTGCTCGCCGATTGTCGTTGCCATGCGCTTTCTCACCACTGTGAACACCGTTTTATGTCTCCCTGCCTGTCTGCTTGTCCGTCTGTCTGTCTGTCTGTCTGGTCTGCATACAGCATCTTCATATTGCGACGCGACCGCATGCCCCCTATCGAATCACGCGATGCCGCCGCCGGTGTTGGGCTCAGCTCCTCAGCACCCCAACGCAACCACGCACAACGTACATGTGCACGCGCGCGGGGAACCTGCCGAAGTTCCTTTCTGACTTTTTTTCCCGTCCGAAATCAAACCAACTTTCCCGACATCGTACATCGTACATTCCAAGGGTGAAGATTTAGGTTGGGGTTTTGGCTGGATGTGGTCCGATAAGGGTGAAGATGGCGGTTTAAAATGTTGGGTTGTTGGGTTTTGGCAGAAGAGTACGGAGGAGGGAGGAGCTCAGAACGCAAACAAGGAGTTGTGTGTGTGTGTGTGGAGGGGCGAAGGAGGAGGAGGAGCAGCTTATTGGTGGGGTGGGAAGGGAGGGGAAGGAAGGACTTGTAGACCGACCGACCGACAGACGCACGTCCGTAATTGATAAATAGACAGACAGACAGACAGATAGATAGACGGGCTTTTATACGTGGAAGATGGTAATATTTCCCATCAGCGGCGAATTGGTGGACACACAAGTCGGAGGTAACATTTTTGTGTGTTTGACGCCCCGTCGTCTTGTGTGACCTTTTGACTGATTTCACTGATTTCCGGCTGGGCGGTTCTAAAACCGCCCCCGTGGGGGGACGCAGCGGGTTGGAAATGTGGAGGAGTACGGCACAGAAGAGGTCGGAGAAGGGGGAATGTCGGAGGGAATGAGGGCATCGTCTCTCGGGCTCTCGGGCCTTCCAGTGGACTGGCCGTTAATTGGTTGGTTTGTTGGTTGTTGCGGCGGCGGTGGTTGGCTAGGTTCCCTGGTGAGGTGACAAAGAAATCAAAAGAGGTGAACGAGAACTCTCGGATTTTAGAGTTGTGTGAGCCATATGGGAGATTCCGGACGGAATAGTGCGGTTGCGGGAGGTGCCTTGAGGGCGGTGACTACCCCGTGGAAGTTGAGGTGCGCTCAACAGGACAGGAACGCGGGATGTGATGGGATGACGCGGGATGTGATGTTCACACGGTCAGCACTCCGCGATGTCGAGGGGGGCACACAATGGGGGAGGGATGAGCTTTGGATGATCTGCAGCAGTGGTGGAGGCGGTTTGTGTGCACGTGTGTGTGGCATTTCTTCTGTGCGCTGTGCGCTGTGTGTATGTATGTATGTCTGCATGTGTGTGTGTATGTGTGTGTGTTTTACCGCATCGACATAGCAGAGACGTGTGTATGGGCGGGCGCGCGCGCGCGTGCGTGTGTATAAGTGTTCTTGCATTCGCCCACTTCCCGTGATGTGTGCATCGGAAACGTGCTGGGAATGTCACTTTTTGAAGTACATACCTTGATGGGCTGGACGACCCGCCAGAGAGGGTACGGGTGCGCGCGTGTGTGTGTGTGTGTGTGGAGGGGGAAGGGGGCGGAAGGGGCTTTTCCAAATATTTCGGATATCTCCATAACTCTCACGGCAAGGTCATGTTTTGTGATATGCGTGTGCTTCTATATGTCATGTGTTTTTGTGTGTATGTCTGTATGTATGTGCGGGGCCGCCTCCCTCTTGCGTCTGTTGATGTGGGTGTGGAGGCAGCTGCTGCGGGGGGGTAATCTTCCGGAGGACCTCCCTTCTCTTCACCCGCGCACGAATCATATCATGAATATTATGGGTATTAAATGTTTTCGTCATTTTACGTGGACTGGCAGCAGCAGCGGCAGCAGCAGCAGCAGCGCGCAAGCAAGCAAGCAAAAAATAGCAGCAGCGGCGGCAGCAGCAGCAGTAGCTGGCAATAGCTGGAGGTTTTGGCCGCTTACCACTGGTATGTATTGTTGCATTCTATGTGTGCAGTGCACGTGTTGTTGGATGCGGAGCGGGCTCGCTTGACTCCAGTGGGCTTAGAGTCCTGCTGCTGTAAGCTACAAGGACTGTCGGCGCGCCGAGGAGTCCTTTAGCGAATCAACCCAGAACGATGAACGGTGAAACGGCAAATGGGCAGAAAGAAGCGAATGTATTATTTGGGTTTCTTTTTGGGTAACGTTTAGCGGTGACGTACAACGAGACGTACACTCGTACTACGGTCGAAAGCTGTTGTGCATGCGCGCGGTTTCGGTTCCACCGCTGCCAGTGGGGCCGTTGTTCGGCCGGCGTTGGCGTTGTTCACGATCCGCCGTCTGCTAAAAGAACGGTGGGAGCGGAGTCCACCACCGCCACCAGTGCGAATTGTGGCCAGTGAGCCCATGCTTTCAACTTTTAAAAGGCGCAGCAGGTGCTGCTGCCTGCTTTTGTATTTTGCTATGAGGGGCGTAATGCAAGGAGGGCAACAGCCTTCAGCTAATCGACGGGTATAGTCATTTTGTAGCTGGTTGAGCTTCACCCTCGTACGACTTTCGGATGACGCGGTTGGCTCTACTATAAATACACGGTGGGCATGAATTCGCCTCTCCTCCCCATCCACACCTCGCTGTCCTGGTTGTTGTGTTCGGGGAAGAGGTTCAAGGGATCGTAGTGATGCGTTTTGGCGAGTGTAAGGGGTTGGAGGTGTCGGTGGCCGCAGCCGTGTTATTTGTGAGAGATAGTCACGACGCACATACATACATGCAGACAGAGATGCGGAACCTTTGGGAAGGCAACTGCTTAATATGTCATGTGGTAGCTGGGGAGGCGGGAGGTGTCAAGAGGTGGCGTGCCTTGGCCCCTTGGTGGAGGCTGGCGGTGATGCTGGTGGTCGTGACGATGGGGGGAGGTCTGAAGGAAAACGACTTGGCATGAAATACCGATTGCGTTCGCGCGGTATGAGGAGGGAGGTCGCTTTAATTAGTTGTTCTGTATGTGTGTGTCTGTGTCCGTCGGTCTGTCTGTCTGTGAATCCGCTGTGAATACTCTCTCCCAGGCCCTGGCTATAGGCAACACAGCGGCGCAGAAGACTGCGAACCGAACTAAGCGAGAGAGCCGCGCGAGAGGCGCCACACCACCTCAGGGATCCCTAAACAGGCTACCTGGCCCCACTACGCCTGGCCAGCCTAATCGCGCGCTCTCTCCCCTCTAGAACACCAAAACAAGAACAAACAGAAAACACCACCGGGGGCAGGGGCTCTACTCAGGGGGCTCCACTACACACTTAAAAGCCGAGGCAGGGGAAGACCTACCCACGTCAGACACGGCCCCTCAGAAGACTCTCCCAGTCAAGGACACACCCACTCAGCCCGCAAGGCAAGAGACATACTGCCGGGGGGGCGATCACATCCCACCTGGGGTCTGCTCCCACCTGGGTGGCGCTTGGGTGGGCCAGAGCTGCTGCCGGGTGGTGGTGGCCCCTATTGTTCTCTGTGCGTGTAGCAGGTGCCTGTCGACCTGTTCCCCTACGGCTCGTGCGACCGGGCATTCCCAGCAGTGGTGCAGCCGCGGTGGGCAGGGTCGGGCGGCGGTGGCCCGCTGGTTCCACACCCCCATGGCTCAGTGGGCACCCGGGCTAGGTGCGTGTTGCCAGGTAGGGGCACGCCATCCACCGCAAGACGCCGCATGGTCTCCTTGTTCTCATTCCCCCAGTGCACCCCATACCACAAATGTGCCAGGGCTGCCTTGAAGCGACTAAGCCGGGCAGGGGGGTCAGACTAAGCCGGGGTCTCGGGCGTGTTCAGGGCCTCATGCACGAAGTCGGTCATCAGGCGTATGCACTGCTCGTTGGCGTGCCCGTTCTGTAGCTGTGTCGCTTGACTGACCGTTAGGCAGCGGAGCGGCATAGTGTCCGTCCCCCAGGCGGGGGAGGCGCCACCCCAGGCGCCCGATGAACATGGTCATCACTTGTGCGCAATCTGGCAGTGTCGATGCCTGTCCTGGTGGTTGCTGCTGGGGCCCCTCCTCCTCCACTTGTCACCTGGCGCTGGCCTGATGCCCGGGCGAAAGTCTCCATGGCCTCCAGGAAGGAGGGCACCGACTCCTCGCTCTCCAGCGCCACTTCAGTGTCATCCGCGAACTGGCAGGCTGTGACGCAGTCCTGGTCACTCGGCCGTCGTTTGACCCCCACATCTCGGTTCCGGAGCCAGCAAAACAGGGCCTGGGCGATGAAGAGGTGCAGCAGGGGCGCGAGGGGGCACCCCTGTCGCACGCCTGCCTCCATTCCGACCAGTCTTGATTTGAAGCCATCGACCATGGCTCATGCCTGTGTGTTGCTGAGCAGCAGCCGAACCCAGCTGCACAGCTGCGGGCCCGCCCCCATCGCCTCCATCACGGCTAACAAGAAGCCTCGGTCCACCGTGTCATATGCCTTCGCGAAGTCCAGGAACGCCAGGAGACCCCGGCGGTTCTGCTTGCGGAGGAGGTGTGATAGATGGCGCAGGAACATCACACTGGCCGCTTGGGGAGCAAGGCTGACTGTTCGGGGGTGGTGATGCGCCCCAGGGCCGGCCCCAGGCGGTATGCCAGTACCTTGGCGAGCAGGCGGTAGTCGGAGCATAGCAGTGTGATGGGGCTGCAGTTACCGGGTTGTTTGGGGTCGCCCTCCTTGTGGAGCACCGTGATAATGCCCTCAAGGGAACTGGTAAGCACCTGCCCCGTCGCGTCCATGGTGGTGAAAAGGCCGGCCATGTTGTTGCCAATGGTGGACCAGAATTTGCGGTATAGGTCGGCTGGGATGCCGTCCCATCCTGGTGCCTTGCCGGGCTGGCTCTTGACCAGTGCGACCCGTAGCTCCGCTGCTGTGATGGTTTTGGAGCCAAGCTGTTCATCCGCATCTGCAGGGAGCCTGATGTTGGCCGCAGGCAGCTGGGCTAGCACCGCCTGGCGGACACTGGGGGGGGTTGAAGTCGGGAGCTCGGCCCAGAAGTCTGCCACGACCTGTGGCAGTTGTGCCGGGTTGGTCACTAGGCCGGCGGCCGCTGTGCGCCCGGAGTGCGACCGGTGTTACAGGCAGGCTGCTGCTCGGCCGCCTGGGCTTGCAGGAATGCGGTCAGGGCAGGGCCTGTCCGCTCGCCTGCTTGGAGCCCATCCGCATGTCCACTCATATATACACATTATGCTAGGGTTTGGCACTACTGGTACCGCGCGACCAATGCCCCCGGGAGATCCCGGGTTCGATACCCGTGAGGATCAACAATTCTTCCGATGGTGGAAGGTATTGCGCCCCTAGTTAATGGACGGTGGTGAACTGGGATAAAATTAACCTGCGAGCCAACCAGGAATGGAGTTGGGCCGCTGTCGACCCGGTAAATGCTGGTGGTGAGTGCGGAACCTGAGCGATCCACTGAGAAGTTGACTAGGGTGACTGGATGAGGGTGCCCCGAAATACCGGGGAAGGCAGGGTTTCGCAGGGTAGCTGCCACGGGCGAAGATATACCCCCCCTGTATCATACACAACACCAGGCCATAACCGTGGTGCAGTACAGCATGCCAAATCTGTTGGCCAAGATGGAGCTGCTGGGCTTCTGGGGCGTTGAGCTCGTCGAGATGGTGACGGATTGCCACATGTCCGACAGCAAGAAAATCTTATACTATTAACTTGATAAGTGTCCATGTTTTTTGCTTGGGGGTTGATGATATGCATGTGCTATAATATGTACGTAAACAATTTATAAGTACACACCATACATACATATACTAGGTCAGGTACTACTGGTAAGGCATGATCCAATGCCCCCGGGAGATCCTGGGATCGAGACCTGTCAGGGTTGTAATCCTTACCGATGGTGGAGGGTAACGTGCTCCTTGTCGTAGGGCATCATTGACCTCAGATAAAGAAATATTGCGAGCGGACTTGGGCTTCAGACAGATCGGCAGATTCCGTTGGATCCCGGGGGTGGGTGCTGAACCTGAGGAATCTGCTAAGAAGTTAAGTAGGGTGACTAGGCGAGGGTGCCCTGAAATAGCGGGGAAGACAGGGTTTCGCAGGGTGTAGATATACCCGCCTGTTCCACACATCATACACACAACATGATGCACAATTACACATCAGATGCGCTGGGCTGGGCTGAGTTAGGCTGATATCATTTTGCTGTTTGCTGCTGGTCTTCATGATGCCGATCAAACGGAGACCCACACCCACACCCACACCCACACCCACACCCACACCCACACCCACAGCCACACCCACACCCACACCCACACCCACACCCACACCCACACCCACACCCACACCCACACCCACACCCACACCCACACCCACACCCACACCCACACCCACACCCACACCCACACCCACACCCACACACACAACGAGACCCACACCCACACCCACACG